TGATTTAAAAATAATGAAGCCCTCTAAAAGCGAATTCAAAGACATTGTGGAGACTCCATAGCTTGGAGATGCAGATGTGGCCATTCCAAGTAACCCTTTCACCCCTACACTGAATATATCTTTCTGCTGAACTGATTATATTCATTATCCAAAAGTTCTCATTAATCAACATTCCCGGCTGGCATGATAGGGGCAGTGAAGATGGATAATGACTTGACTTCGGAGTGAAGTTGTGTATATTAAGTATTCACATTAAGGCGAGTCAGCTACATTGTATTAGATCTATTAATATTTTACTATAGATGGGTTAACTAAAACTATCATAAACAACGATAGTGCGTTTATCTCACATGACGTAGATGATGGCTGTAGTGCTATTGGATTATGATCTTGCTTGATATTATTACATTTATTTTTGTTATTGTATTAATAGGCTTAATCTCAAAATTACAGACTTGTCATGATGTGATCATCCAATCCACAAGAAATTAGGTGAATAGCATCGTTGTCTGTACTGACTCATCCAATTGCGGCAACCAGCAGTATGATGTCTAGCACTTATGAAGAATAAAGTTGTGCTGAGAAGAGAGTAATAGACGTAAAAAGCAAGAGGTGTGACCATGCCTCTATGTCTTAATCTTGCCATCTTAATTTATTTATACCTGGATTCGCCATTACTGACCTTTTCCCTGTCTTAAATTTTGCTTGTGAATTTTCTCGGTTACCTTATGTTCAGCTTTGAGTATCGTGTGGTTACAATCAATACCACTACAATATCACTGCCCTTCACTACCAGCATTTCGTACTTGTTGGTCCTGAGGAGAAAGTAAATAGTCTTAGAGATTCAAGATATAATCTAAGCTAATTGTTCCCCTCCAAATCTTGAGGTCATCCAGGTGGAGAGTTTGAGAGTCTAGAGAGCTAGGTTATTAAAAAATAAGTAGTCTAAGGATTGATCTTTGTGGCACTGTAGTTGTTGTGGAAAACCAAATGACCGAGTTGTGCAAATTCTGGGAGCTTTTAATCCCCTATTTAGGTAGTCTAAAAGCCACGTAGTCAAACACACAGTTATACCCACAGAGTTTGGTTCTCGAAACAACGCTCCGGTCAATCACTTCATCTGCCTTGGAGAAGTACAGGAGGTCGACATACACTGGATGGTTACGTTTCGGTTCAATAATCCATAAATTCTAGGTCGTCAGGATGTCTTCTTTGCAAGGTCTACAAGGTAGAAAGTCAAATTCTGATCTTAGAAACGAAACTGAAAGGAAGGTAATTACGAAGAGACTCTTTGTTAGCATTTCCAAATGACCTTAGCTGCTGCGGAAAGCATCTTCCTTTTGTAGTCAGGAGGTGACTTAACCTCGACTAAGGAACATTTGACGAGAGTAGAAAGAGGTGAGAAAAGACGGTTTGGGTAACTCTGCAGGATTTTGAATCGGACAGCACCTGAGCCAGTAGATGTGTAGAATTATGGTCTACTATGATATTAATAATAATATTAAAATTTTGGAATTGTCATGACGTAATTAACGATTCTATGAGATCCTACGTGGATGTCACATCATTATCTACTATGAGTAATTTGTATTGTAACAATCATCAATATATGATGAAGGCTGCAGATAGAACAATATATTTAATATAGATAAGACTTTATATAAGTAAGATCACGCCTGCAAACCGAGCAACGCCATTCGACCAACTCGGAATAAACTGAGTTCATTCTTTCCGCCTTCTCCATCGTTGGGTTTTCCTCTGCGTTAAATGTTGAATATGTGTTTTCCCAGTTGTCTCGTGTTCAGCTTTGAGGGTTGCGTGGTTAGGGCACAATGCAACTACAGATATATATCGGTTCAGACACCTCAGCACCTCTTTGATTTGGAGGGTTTCGGACCCCACGAAGCTTGGGTCAGGGTATGAGAATATGATTCACGAACCGCTCGACACAGACGTAATAAAGTTTGGTTGTATATAAACTCTTCGGCCAGCAGTTTATTGAGGGCATCATTAGAGCTTTGTGTCGTTAAGGCATCCCAATCCAGGATATTTGAATCAACACGCATTTCCACGCAAAGTTATGTGTAAAATGCGGTCGCTTTATTGGATAGGACTGGCGAAATGTTTTGTTCCGTTCAGATTTGTGATTTCACGCGTTACGCAACATCTTGTGATCTGACTAGTTATCTGTGCCGTTAGGGAAAAACCAATAGTCTCAGGTTATGCCTTTTTTCCGATGAGTTTGTGAGAATTAGACTTCGGTCAAGAGAAGGAGCGGAAGTGTTTCATGTATGACACGAAAATCCGAGGCATCGATCGACTGGCCAGAAGTCATCCTTAGAGGACCACACCATTCATTCACAAAAACAGAAATTCGTTTGCCCAGCCACGACATGCTTTCGAGTTCTACTCTGATAGAGCCATAATTAGGTCTGAGAAATTTTATCTATCATATGTGTTCATTTGTCAAGCCAGCTTCGGTGAGCCAGAATGATATGAAGGCATGATCGCTTTGTCCACAAAGATTCATGACTAATAATTTAGTCTTGATTACAAGATTATCATAATCTGAGGCTTGTGTCATTGCTAATGGTCTTGTGTTACTTTATTCATCAAATGTAATTGCATTGTGTGAACTCGCTGTATCGTTGACTCACTACTGCTTTTGTTCATTTTTTTACAGCCCTCCAGAGTCACGCTACTCCGTATGCTTCGTTAGTAAACAAAGTACCTACCGACTGAACGCAAAACTCCACACTCAACATGTATAATGACCCTACTAAATTGCTTGTAAGTAATCATCGAATAGTAATATCTAAAAACCAAGTCATTAAGACTACTTCAGACTGTCACCTAACAGAAAAACTGATTTAAACAAGCAAAAAAAGCCTCTATCCTTCAAAACAAACAAGTACATAGACCTTTATAAATGTTATGAGACTTCCATGCATCATAAAAACTGTGTCTTATTGTTCCAACTACTTATTGTATCGTGTGGTATTAACGTTTAAATAGGTAGCGCGGGTTTCAGTAATACTTGTTTCTGGCGGCGTTTTGGACCCCTCAGTAACTGACTCAAAGCTTTCTTCAGTTAACGCATAGTTTCCGCTGTCAAATTGTCCTAACCCCATGCTTGATTAGCTGTTAATCGTTGTTTGTTGCTGCTGCCACTAAGAGTAAGTACATTTTTTGTGGTTGATGCAACAAGCGACGGATCATCTTGTTCTCTTCCTGCTTTCCTGTCATACTCTACTCTGCATGCTCCCCTATTATCCAAAACGCCTCCAGGCTGGGCTCGAACCGCCACACAGGTTTTATGTCTAATAGCCCGAGTTGAGATACTCATTCAGTCTGTTTCATCTATGTTCCCTCATTCCGTTCACATAAGTCACGACTGTCTTATTCACCACTCAGTCTTTTGTCTGTTTCGATTTTCTCATGGAAGTGACTGCAGTGAATTATCATTGTTTCTTCCTATCTACCAAATCAGATTATTTCGGGCGAATCCATAAGTATTTCGGTTTTCATCAAAGTAAATAAAACTATAATTTTCCCTTGCCCAGGCTCCCAACTTTGGGGAAAATTTAGTCCATTTTGCGGAAGCCGCTATAATAAATTTTGGGGAAATGAGAAAAAGAACCCAAAATTTCCCCAGACTTTGGGGAAGGATATTTCACTTTGGGGATTTCCCCAAAGCTGGCAGCTTGGGTGACCATGGGAAGTTTTAGGGTTTTTGACCTCATTTCTCTGCAATTTTCTATATGGGTTTCCCTCGAAATTGGGAAAATTTTCCTCAGAATCTGGAGAATAAGAGAGTCCCTGACCTGGGTTAATTCTATGAATTTTATTTTTGCACCTTATTTAAAACTTCTCAGCAGTGACCAAAGTCTTACAAAAAGTGACTAAGACGTAACATCATATGGAGCTGTTGCAACATTTGTTTTTCTAAAATAGTCACCTGAAATGCAAGTTAAATAAACCCATTAGTGTTTCGTAGTGATATCTTCTGGAAAATCTTGAGACATATTTCCTTCGTCTAGGCAGTTATGGGCTAACTTGAGTTCGGAAACGCGTTTGCATATTTGGGGTTATTGTGCTGCTTAAGAATCGTGATGCTTCAGGGTGTAGCTAAGCAAGATAAGGCCTTGTGAAATACTAAAGAAAAGCTTTGCATAATCTTTTTTTTCATGCAATATTTCAACCGTCTTCCATTCGGCAACGGAAAACTAATTTTAAATTCAGAATCTGCTGACAACATAATCTGGAAAATTTTAAATGGATCAAACCGTCGTACACTTCCACCATCAGCATCTGTTGATTTTTCGGAACTTCCATCCGTCCCAAGCTCCAAGCCGTAAAACCAAATTGGTCAATTTGAGCAAGTTTGTAGACGACCCCACTAAAGGTTTCACGAAAATGCAACACGAAATCTCAAAATAGATCCAGTTTATACTTCTCCTTGCATGCATAGATTCTAGTGTATCTGATTCTCGTTCTACCGAAAGATATACAAGGAGAAAGATTCGGATGGTGTTGATGGTCAGTATCTGATAAAATAACACTTGCCAGTAGTTTGCAAGATTCCAAATGTCTATCTACAACCATTTAGTTACATCAAGGAATTCCTCACATACCTTAATAATTGCTTACAGCCTCTGTTTTCCCACTCGTGGTTTGTCTGATGGCCATCCTGATTTCTTCGACTATTCGTGGAGTGACGTCTATAGGAAGGCCTACGTGTGCTACTTCGATGTTTGGTTGGTTCAGTTTGGCTGGCCCATTCAAAGTGTTCTGCCCACCTGTTCGCTGTTCTTAAATCTCAGTAATTGACTTGCCTTGTATGTTCTTGACTATTCACTGTAGTTTACAATATTTTCGTGCTAGTTGCTTCGTTGTTTTTCATATTTTCTTTGTTAAAACTTTTTCTACTGTCGCTGTTAGGCTTTCGACTCTAATGTTCCTTTTCACTTTTTTGTTTACTTCTGTGTATTTGGCGTTTTCTTGGCTTTACTGCTCACGTTCAACCGTTGTTAATTGCTATCTTATTTTTCCTTTCTTGAATCCTGCTCAGTGTTTGGATAGAGATACATTACTTATGACAATGCTTTTTGCGACTCAGAACCTCCTGACAAGTTGAAGTTCTTTGGACAACATCAGTGCAACTCCCTGTGTGTGCGAAGCATTTTCTTCTTCACGACCATAGTAAAACAGCAACTCTTCTGAAGGCAATCCTTGGTGTCCAGCTTCGATCCATTGGATTTAACTTATTACGAGAACCGTCAAATTGTATGTCCTCATTACCTCAGCTATTCGATTAGTCCTCCCAGTCGCCCAGATTTTCCGGACATTTCATGTACCTATATTAATTGTTGCTCTAGTTATCAGAAGGGGATCAGTGTCGTGGTTTTCAAGGAATCTCGGCTTTCATCATGAGGCGTCATAATCCTCCTAAATGAAGATCTTTCAACTCACATGGCTTAAATTGTTTTTCTCCGGTCAGCGTTTTTAGAAAGGTTATTTTCTACGGGATGGGGTTGCTTGACCACATGCCCAACCCTCTTTTATTCAGACGTGGGACAGGCAGTAACCCTAGAAGGGCTACAAGCGGATTTAAAACTATTCAACCCTCAGTAACAAATTGAAGATAATTCCAGAGAGTGGTTATTTAAGTAGTAAATTTTCTCTGACCCACATATTAAACTAAAATTGTGTGTTCATGTAGTTCTCCTTGAAGATATTTGGTTGAATTCCTCGAGTTATTATCCATAAGAATTTTGGAACCAAGGAACACTATATATATATATATATATATATATATATATATATATATATATATATATATATATATATATATATATATATATATATTGGGACTTGCTAGTATACCAGTTCGCTAGGCTTGTTTTACACTGTATGTGCCATAACAATCTGTAGTGTGTGTGTGTAAAAATATGAAAACATGAGTAGGTTCAGCGACTCAATAATAATTGTATCTATGCTGATTATCACAACGCAAGAAGCTTTTGTACATTGTTTTCCGATTTCCATCGACTTGCGTCAATTCAGTCCCTTTGTTAGAGTCATAATATATAACGAATGCCCAACTGTTCGGTGTGATTTTATTTTAGAGTGTTTTAGTTTTTCGTTGGGACTTAGTAACCAAGTAGAGTCATGTATTCAACTTTAAATAGCATTTTATTTAGTGGTTATTGTTGCTATCTGGGTGCTCGAACTAAGGATGTGTTAGGTCTGATCTCGAATCCAGCAGTTGAATTTCGATTGGCTTAATCACCAAGTCTCCGCTTCACATGTATAGAGTCCACTAAAGTCCATCATTTACCATACTGATTAAACCATTAAAAATCTACTGAAATGTATCACAAATAGTTAAATAGGCATGTGTCAGAATTTTTAGAGCTTATGTAAACAATTTAAGGTTATCTTATTTCCACTAATTATTCATACATAAACAACGGAGATTCTGATATATATATATATATATATATATATATATATATATATATATATATATATATGCATCATTTTTTAAGTTGCTATATTGTGTCTTCACATTGAATGCTAGAGTGTTAGAGGTAGTAACAGTATCAGTGGCAGTAAAAGAGGGTAAGCTTCAGACAGTACGATTCAAGGAAAGATAAATTTGTGGAATAAAAAAGTAAAAGAATTCTAAAACTCAGGATGTAGGAGAAACAGTATCAGTTACAGTTTATTATTCCTCATCCACTACTTACTTTTCGTCGGCTTAGTGGTATAATTTGTTCTCGTAAATATGGTTTAGAGAATATCACTTAAACCTTTTATATATATATATATATATATATATAATCAATAAAATATTTTTGCTTGTTATTAATACAGGTCTCAAGCAGAAAACCAATTATCAAATTTAAATGACAGAAAAACGCTCCTCACGGATACGAAAAGTTCACAATTACGCTCTATTAGGTGACAGTGATACAGAGTTCTTTGATGATGATGATGATGAACCCGTTAAATTCAAGAAGACTGGTGATAACGAGGTCAAGTCGATAAGTAGACCTTCAAAGACTAAGAAGATAACGAAAGATACGTCCGTGAAGCAATATGAAACAATTCAAACACAAAAGGAAAAGCCATCTAACATAATCAACAAAGGAAAACTGACCAGTTCTAATCTTTCGGCTTCCCACTGTGAAACTTCAGAATCTATAACAATTTCTAGCCACAAAGCTTTGTCAAAATCCTCTCCTTCTACCATTGTTTATTCCAACTCAGTCAATAATGTAACTACACCACCTTCAAATAAAGCCTTTTTTCCTGTCACGCCGTCTAGTGGCCTTCGTCTTGGTTTATCGCGTACAAAACGGTTAAGACCTTTACATGCAAATGTGCGTATAGCATAATTTATGATATTTCTTAGACGTTGTACAAAGGAATTTTTAAAACCTAATTTTGTTTTACTGTGCAATTCTCTTATAATAACTACTGCTTTATGGATTCTGATAACTGAATGTTCAGTTCTCTAACTGTCAACATCAGTTGTTTTTAATTCGTTCGTATCTGTCTTTTTACTCAGAATTTGACGTTTATCGCACTATATATTTTAAATCAATCTTTCATATTATTTGAGAATATTTATTAAATCATAGAAGAAAACCAAATCGCGATTGCATTTTAACTAGCTTTCATGTTACAGCCCCGGTGTTTTGTCATCTTAGATACGGCACTTGCATGGTAACTGGATCTTTTTGTCAATAATAATAATGGTAATAGTAATACTAATAGACTACAATATTCAATTTGAATGAAATATTTATGTTTGGTTGCATCAACATCGTATTACTATATTAGGTTCAACTCATAAGCTATCATCCGATATAGAAGTGGTAATTTGTTAATATAAAGACTGGAAACATTTTAAAGAAGATCCGATTAAATGTAAAAAGTGATGAGAAAATGAGTACGAACAAGTTTAGCAGCTATTCACCTGGAAGAAGTAGATTTTGGAGGCGGTTGTTATGATGGATGAATTTCAGATTTGGAAAGATGTTTAGAGATCGTTAAAAGAATAGATGTAATACTGATAAATAATTAAAATCCAAGGGTACGACATAGATGGTCACGTGGTTGAATCGCATAAGCCCATAACAAACTAATATTGAGAGGCAGCCATCCCATAGATTAAATATTTGTCCTGTAATGTAACTTATTCACATACAAAACAAACTACCAGTGCATGTGTTTCGAAGTAGATTAATACGCTAGTGATTAGAAATGAATTCTGTAGGGGATTCAAGTACTAATTAAATTAAGAACCAGTTGCCAGGCTTAATTCGTGCCCGACACAGGCAGACCCAGAGGGTTTTAATAAGCTGGCGACGAGTGATTTTCTTGTTGTTTACTGAGTCAGTCCTGAAATTACTTCATGCTAATATGATAAGTATTTTCTGATGCGGTACTCAAGTAGAAAGTTCATATACTGGACTTTGTAACACAAGACACCGGTGATATCTTATATATTCTAAGAGTGGTATTTGCTTTCATGTATTCATTTTTCCAATCTTTTTGTATCGAAAAATTTATTTAGGAAAGTTTGCAAGATTGTATATAAATTTTTGTTCAAATGTAAACGAATGAATACATTGAAAAAATTATGCTTGTAAAATTTACAGTTACTGAAATTAAAAATAACTCGAACCTTTACCAGTCTGGTACGAGCTTCCTCGGCGAAATGATCAAAAGTAACAGATATGAATCGGATTCACGAAGAAACGATTGTGTGTTAAACAATTGTCCACTTATGTTCATTTATTAAATATAGAATTATTAAATTGTAAATATGAATCATTTTCTGCTCAACACTGACATTCAAGGTATTGCCAGAAAAGTTTGGTTACAAACAGATCAAGTAAACGAAAAAAATGCGAACAGATAGAAATACCAAATTACAAATAATTTTTCATCTCGACAACACATATGTGTGTAAATGTTTAATAATAATAGTAAGAGATATTAGTCAGGTGGTGATGTGTCAGATAGTAATACAAATACAAGTGTATCGGAAAAAATTTGTGAAAACTTAAGGAAATAATTAGTGTAAGAGTTAAGATTTCGCGCGTGGGACTGAATCCTGGTTTCGATCTCTGGTTAGGGCATCATCTATACACACTGTTGAAGACTCCTGTACTAAGAACACCTAAGTGAACGAAAATTTAAAAACGTGAATTTGGACCAGACCAGCCCAGTCAAGAGAAAAACTAAAGGTAACAAGGGGTTCCGTCCTCTCTCGTTTCGTTGGCACAGGACGTCAAGTTAATTAAAGCAAAACTTTTGATACACTTGAATTTATATTACTATCTGACGCATCAGCACCTGACTAGTATCCTTTATTATTAAACATGTACACGTATATATTTGTGTATTCATGTTGTTAAAAACAAACTGAAAGGAAATATTTCGACCTATTCACTTTTTTGCTTAGTGTCTGAGTGGGAGTTTTCACATAATTAAATGGAAAAAATGAGATCTGATTCCTTTCAAACTAACGTAAAATTTAGGTCGAAAAGTTTGTTTCATCTACACTGACTACATCCCGACCGTTGTTGCTACCTTGACGTGGTGGTCGGGCTTGCCTATCGTGATGAAGCAACCGAGCTATACTGGCTGGAACAACCGTTCCTCAAGGTCCTACCATGTCAGACAGGTCGGTTGAAGAGCGGTAAGACTAAAAGCAACAAACCCAAGGTCCGAAGGCGAAGTCGTACTGCTGACTGTACAGAGGTGTGACAGCAGTAAGGTGTTTCCTTCAGACAACCAGCATGACAGCGATGCTGCCTTCCCACAAGGAGGGGTGGGGTTAGAAAAGGTCGACCCTAAAAATGCACACCTCACCTTACCTCACGGATTTCCGTCTCCGGCGGTAAGGCCCTTTGAAGAACGGAGCTAACACTTAAAAACCTTCCACGAAAAGGCCGTGCGCGACCGGCCTCAAGCAGTTGTCCCTTGGGCACTGCGGTCACGCTCTCAGGTCACTGAGGCCACCTCTAATCCAATTTCCTTTTCAGGTACCTCCAGAAGAACCCTTCCACGGTGTGGGCAACCGGGAAGTGATAACCGCCCTCATACCTCTAACAGCACTCAAGACCACTGTATTCATAATCAACCTTCCTCTTCAATTCCTATTATTCCTCCTACATCGACTTTCAACTCTAAACTTCCTCTTCGGCTTCCTCCTCAAGTGTCACCATAGCCAACGATTCTAGTGCTCAAAACTCTGTCCCAGGTCTACTGAAACCTCGCTCCAAACTACACATTGGAGCCTTCAACGTACGCACCCTATGTCAAATCGGTCAGCAGGCTTCCTTGGCTAAAACCCTAGAGTCTCTTTCCATTGATGTATGCTGTGTCTCCGAAACACGCATACAGGATTCCAGTGTGGTCATTCACTTGACCTCACCTCGGCAAACGGAGAGCCAACGAGATACACCCTCGTGTATCTGGTGACCCGATGGCCAGTTCTCGTGGACTGGCAGGTGTAGGCATAGCACTAAGCATGAGGGCGAACAAGCACTGCTAGAGTGGATCCCCGTCAACAGTCGTCTATGTGCTGTTCGGCTAAACGGCTCCGTAAGAACTCGGAAGGATAGGGACACACGTCGTTGCCTTTTTGTCGTTTCTGCCTACGCTCCCACTGACTGCAGCTCAGATGAAGTGAAAGATGAATTTTACAGAAAGCTTCCGAACTTCTTCAGAAAGCTAAACGCTCAGACATAGTACTCGTAGGGGTGACTTTAATGCTCAGATAGGTAGCTTAAACCAAACAGAAAGGCATTTAGGTGGATATTTTAGCATTCCGGCACAGCGAACAGATAATGGTGATCGTCTGCTGCAGCTATGCTCAGACAATCGTTTATTTTTAGCAAACACAAATTTTAAGCATAAGGAGAGACATCGTCTAACATGGCGACCCCCTACACCAAACCAACGATGGACTCAAATAGACCATATTGCCATCAGTCATCGTTGGAGAGGGTCGGTAGAAGATTGTCGCTCATTCTGGAGTACCTGCTTGGACTCCGACCATGCCCTAATACGGGCACGCATCTGCTTGCGCCTCACTGGACGCAAAAAAGCCACATTAAAAAGACCCATTAGAACTGAGTTGAGTAACGAGAAAACCAAAAGTAGGTTCCAGGAACAACTGAGGTCACACTTAGGTAGTTCTGAAGACGAGGCTGACCCAGATGTTGCTTGGAAGGACATACAAGCAGCTGTGGAAACAGCAGTGACATCTATTAGCGACTTAAACCACAGAGTTACAAAGAACCAGTGGATTTCTTCAAAGTCTATCACACTGATGGATTCTCGCAAACTCGTCCCATCAGGTTCCGAACATGATGAAGAGCGACAACAAATCAGATCTAGGTTAAGAAAAAGTCTAAGAAACGACCGTGAGCAGTGGTGGGCAACGAAAGCAAAAGAGATGGAAAAGGCGGCGACTATAGGGAACACAAGACAGCTTTACAGACTAATAAAAGAAACTGGAATTAATAAGTCAAGTGTAAGTGAGATTATTTCGGAAAAAGACGATACTCTCATCTGCTCCCAGTCCAGACGTTTAGAACGATGGGCGGAACATTTCAGAGAACAGTTCAACTGGCCTTCAGCTACTCTACAACTACCCTCCATTCCCAGACAGGTCCCTGTTAGCGGGACATAGACCGGATTAAAGCATGCTCAATTCACGATTTCTTTGGTGCACGCTGATTGGCTAATTCTTATCCGATCAGCACTAGTCGATAGTTGGAGAATACTCTAGAATCTTCTCATGTAAAAAAACTATAAATATACTGACGTTTTCTCTATTGTGCTTCTGACTTGCTTCTTCCTTCCATCTAACCTTGTTATTTGGAATATAATCTCTTTCCTGTTCATCGTGTTCTGATTTGGGAACTTGTCGAGTGAATCGGTGTCCGAGAATACTAAGCTATAGGAATAGCTGGGTCATAACCGTAAGAAAGAGATTTATAACAGTCCCCCAACTCTAGCAGAAGTTCAAAAGACTATAGCTAATCTGAAACGAGTAAGGGCAGCTGGTCCAGATGGACTGGTTCCAGAGGTCTTTAAGAATGGTGGTCCAATTTTAGCGATTAGGTTGACTAATATTTTAGCTAAGATCTGGGAATTAAACGTTATCCCCTCTAACTGGTCACAATCACTTATCGTCCCAGTATATATGAAAAGGTCAAAATCATCCTGTGACAACCATAGAGGGATTAGTTTAACTAATATAATATCTAAAATACTAGCCTCGATAATTATCAAACTCGTGAACTGCAAACACGAGAGAACCAAGCTGGCTTCAGACCTGGTCGTGGCTGCATCGACCACATATTCACCATTCGTCAGATTCTAGAACACAGGCATACTTATCGGCGTCCGACAATGGTGGTCTTTCTTGACTTAAAAGTAGCATTTGACACGGTAGACCGTGAGATTCTGTGGCAGTGTCTGTCAGTGAAAGGCGTACCCCAGAAGTACATAAACCTAGTAAAGGCTCTTTACTCGAACACTACTAGTCGAGTCAGGGCTTATGGCGAACTGTCATCTACCTTTACAACCTCAAATGGTGTCCGTCAAGGCTGCCCACTTTCTCCATTTTTGTTTAATTTCACCATAGACCTATTGATGGAAATAACTTTCTTGTCGACTGAATTTTCGGGTATTGATTTCCATTCAAGAGGTCCACTTATCGACTTAGAATACGCAGATGACATAGTCCTGTTTGGTGAAGACGCTGACAAAATGCAGAGTCTTCTGGTAGCACTGAGCAACAATGCAAGGATGTTTGGAATGCGCTTCTCTCCCTCTAAACGCAAGTTGTTGCTTCAGGACTGGTCTGCGTTAACACCTGAACTAAGAATAGGGAGTGAAGTAGTCGAACGCGTTGACAACTTCACATATCTTGGAAGTCTGATCAGCCCTAATGGGTTGGTATCGGACGAAATCTCAGCACGGATTCGAAAAGCACGTTTGGTATTTTGTCATCTTACGTCACCTATAGCGAAGGCGAAATGTCCGTCTATCAATAAAAGGACGAGTATACTGCGCGGCAGTCCGTTCTGTTTTACTTTACGGCAGCGAAACATGGCCATTAAGATTAGAAGATACTCGTAAGCTATTAGTATTTGACCACAGATGCCTTAGAAATATTGCTGGCGTCTGCTGGGATCACCGGGTAAGCAATGGTGAGGTTAGACGCAGGGTATTAGGGAATGATGGTAAATCATTTGATGAGGTTGTGAATTTTCATCAACTGAGATGGTTGGGCCACGTGTTACGTATGCCTGAACACCGATTACCACGACGTGCAATGCTAACCGGTCTTGGAGATGGTTGGAAGAAAGTTGGGGGCGGCCAAATCAAAACGTGGCATCTACTTGAAGCCACTAACTTCTAGTCTGAGCCATGTTGGTAGATGCAGACTACTTGGTTGGAGTCCGCGTGACTGTCGTAACCAATGGTTGGAGACTCTTGGTGACATGGCTCAGAATCGATCACAATGGCGTTGGTGTATACACTCTTTGTCTTCCCTTAAACTAAGAGATTAAAATCGCTTCATATCTTTCATTCTACGAACTAATTCTTCCTTCTTGTATTATATTCTTATATGCGGTCTCTCTTTTATATATTGCCACCACTGAATTAACTATTTTATGAATTCGGCGTTGATCTTGTTGTGCTAATGAGGTGTGGCAACTTGGAC